TTATCATCCCTTTGCTTCCTTATCATCGAAAGGAAAAGCAAGTGACAGACAGATTTACAGACTGACCAAAGGATTTTACGTTCAAGTTTGCCTGAATTAATTTTTCTCCTGTTTGAGGTAATGGTTCTTTCACGCTCCCGGAGCTATCGGTTGCCATCCTCCTCCAAGCACCCCTGTGAGGGGGTGGGAAAGAGGGGCACAGCCACAGCCGTATGCAGCGCCCTCGGGGCTGGCGCTGCTGCCGCAGCCTGCAGCTGTGACAGGGTGATGGCTGGAGCAACAGGCCGGACACCCTGGCTCTGCCTTTGGCCCTGCCGCTGCTTCACTGCCTCTGCGCGCCTTTGCCTCCTTCCTGTAAAATGGGGTTATCAAGACTCAGATAAAAGTGCAGACTATTGTTAGGGCCACTAGAGGGGATCACTTGCGCATGCTAGGAGACCTGCTCCTCCTCCTCCAGGTGTGCAGCAAAGCCCTGCCGCTTCCAGGTCAGGCATGCGGCTGCCGTGGCAAGGATTAGCACTAGGACAACAAGGTTGCAGCCAGGTGGACATTTCGGACAGGATCTGAGCACAGACTGCTCCTGCAGTCTCGCCTGATTTGCAGGAGGACCTGGCAAAGCCGGTGACAGTTCTTCTGCCACACTGCTGCTCTGACCCTTTCCAAATGACCCTCTACACCTTTGCTTCCTTACGGGTAACTCGCATCATCTGATGGTGGTGGTGGCCCACAACACGTTTCCATACAAAACACCACTCGCACAAGTACGCTCCTTAAAAGCCTGCCCTTGAACACTTAGTCATATTTTGAACCTAGCCTTACACAATTATTCATCCTACGGCTGCCAAAAGCGTGACAACACTAGAGAGGCTGAGAAACCTGTGGCACAGCATTTCTAAACTGCCAGCGAGAAAGGAAATGGTATTTTTCATTTTTATGTTATGCTTGGTTACCTTTTCTATTATCTTGTCGCAGAGCAAGGAAAAATGTTCACAGGGTCTGAGCATGAGCAATAAACATTTTTAGCGGTTATCAAATGCCTCAGTGTTTGCTTTGGTATTTAATTACAGGACTCACGTAGGGCGTTCTTTGTTTGCATCTGCTGCCACTGTGAACGATGTCTACTCTACTGATTACCACACAAGACAGTTTGTTATGTATCTACCTGTCAATGACATATATTATCATCCTGCTGAGCAGACCTCACTCCTGCACGGGGATCCGGTGCTGCGGCTTGGTGTGTCACTGAAACAGCCAGATACCACAAGTGCAGTTGTTCAGGGTACCCAGGTCTGCCACTGCGAAATGAATGCTAGCTTTGCCAAAATGCTGAAACCAGAGTTTTTTGGGGTTTCTGAGAATGTTTTTCTTATTACAAAATAAATTGTCATAGAACATTTAAAAGCTGGTGTTTTATACTATGATGATGTCAAACACAAGGCCAGCAGGCAAAATAAATTAACTAGAGTTAATTCACCCTGAGCAGAGTGTAGGTGGTCCTTATGTGAGGGAAAACTGACTGATGGGCACCTTTTTAAATGGACAGGCTGGTGATGAAGATTTCTAGATGCTGGAGTGTGAGATAAATAGGTCCAGCTTTCTCAGTCAGCATCGACTCCAAAAATCAATACACAATGCTTTCTTCTGCTGCAATAAAACATGTAGAATTATGTAAAACTTGGAGGCAAGATTATATTTTCGAAGTCATAAACTATACTGTCTGCTCACAAATGACTGTGGAGGACAGAGTTTGTAAAGTGCACTTTGATCATCTGTAGGCTCAAAGAAAAACAAAAAGGTTTCAAATGGAATTGTTGCCACTTGCATGTCTGTCTATCCAACTGCATCTTAATTTCTCTAGAAAACTCACCAGACATGAATTATGTATATCTTAAAATGTTATAAAGGCATAATATAAGCTTAGCTGCCTGACTGAATTATTCTGTTCAGACATCTACCAGTATATTGAGAGACTGTAAAAAAGGTTTTAGGTCTGACAGTATCATACTATCACCATAGAGATCCAAGGAGTTTTCTAATGCAAGAGTTGACAAAAGTTGTCTCTCTTAATGAATGAGAATCAAGAGAGACAAAGCATGAGATCATAAATGTTTCACTAAAACACCATAAAATTGTTCCAACTATGAGCAAAGTGCTATTTTAATTTTTTTTTAAAGCTTTAAAAATGAACAAACCCATATGAAATCTCCACAACATGAACTGAGGAACCATGATGGCACAGTATACCTTTTTGTCATCAAAAGAAAGTTTTAATCTGTGGCTTAAAAAACCCTTGAGAACAGGCACTGAAACCTGAGGGGAAGTATTCAATCACCTCACTTCTTTTAGCACCTATCATTCTCCAACGCAAGAAAGAAGGAAATAAATCTCTATATGTGCACACAGACCTCCTACAGCCCCTCCAATGTACAAGCTATTGTGATTAATCAAAAGTTTAAAATTAAACAAAAAACTCATTTTCTTCAATTATGATTAAAGATCAAAGCAAGTGGATTAACTTTTTGGCAGAACCTCCAGGTCTCAAGAGTTACCATCTGATATACTGAGAGTGACCAATTTTGTTTTGGAGATTCTGGGGGAGGAAGGGAAGAAGGAAGAAAATGAATGATCCCAGCAGCCAGGTGGGTAGTAAACCATAGCAAAGTGGTGTTTCATACATTACCATGACAATCTAGTTACTGAAACTGAAAAACGGTAAAAGAATTCTTTTCACAGCAACTAAGCTACTGCATCTTGTGAGGTCTGCTTTCTTCCTCTTCACTCCTGAAAGTATGGGCTGAATGCTCCCTGGGTCCACATGGCCCTTGCCTGCCAAGTTTTCAAAAGTGACTGCATAGAAACAGGTACTCTTAGCACACTGGAAAGATGCAGAAAGAATACTAACATGCTGCGATCACCAAAGCCTCTTGCCAGGTAAGGATTAAAAATTGTGTTGTTTAGTTTGGTAAAGCCATCAGAACTGGCAGCTGTCACCCACCAACCAGATGGGTAAACCTTGGGTACCACTATATAATGTATCATCCCCCACAAATCCAGAAGTGCTTCACAAGCCCACATAACGACACAGTTTGCTTCACTCACAGATCCCTTTAGACATTTATCAACTGAGTAATGCACATCACCACCACATGTCATTTGAAGTGTATAAGAGCACAAAAATCTCCTTATGACTAAAAGAAAGGATTTAGAGAAGCAGAGCATAATTACAGAACTGTTAGAAATGAGAGTTGCAAGAGTTTAGTATTCCCTCCCCTTTACGAAAACAGTTATGAAATCAAGAGTGATTTCTGCAGGCAGAGATCCTGTGTTCATCTCTCATGAACCATGGTGCCACCACCAGACAAAAATCCTGGTAGCATGACGGCCAATGATTCATATTTGCCCCATGGAGTTAAGAATTGCCTATGCCTTCAATGATACATGCAGTGGAACCTACTGTCTACCTTGCTGAACCTGAAAGAGCTACTGGATGAAGTCACAGGATTTTCAGTAACAGAAAACACAAATAGCAAACTAGTCAGGTCAGAAAAGAAAACTACCTGATCTTCCATGAAGCTCCACAGCAATACCTAACACGGAAAAGTAAATTCCTTTTTCTTTTTTGGGTGATCTGGGCTGTTGCCAGAAACAGGACTATTCGTTTCCTGAATTCCCTAAAATTACTAATAACATTCCAACTGAAGTTGTGGGAAATTATGTAGACAAATCCTTCTTCTACTGAGGCAGAAGGCCTGTAAGTAATAGGCAGTTGTTAATACATTTGTTTAAAACAACCACATATTATGAAGTTGTTGCTTTTTTAAGCTCTTGATTTTAGGTTGCTATACAGTTCAGTGAATTATCCTGCTATTGCTTCTTCTGTGCTCCTGGACCATTAAGTAAGAGAAGCATGTCAAATTCTCCACAAGCCTCTAGGTCATCTATCTACAACAGCATGCATTTTGGATTTCCTTTCTCTCTTTTGTCAGCACTCTGGTACTGCTGCCAACTATCTTACCTAAAAGAACTCAACAAAAGTATTCCACGCTGTGTCATAAGGATTCACCTTCACTCTGCAGTAGAAAATGGACATTTAGACTACTTCAATAATAGACGGTTCCAATTAAAAGTTAGGCATGATCATTCTTACTAGCTCTCATGTAACATTTGAGCCTGGTGACTTCAGAGCAATCGTATGGCACATGCTGACAGAGTGCAGCAGTTTCACTTTTTGTTCTCGACCAACAGCTCTCACACCAACAGCTCTCAGGGAGAGGCTCAAGATCCAGTCAAAGGATCCCAACGAAGATAAGGATGCCAGCTGGCCACAAAAACACGAGGTCGTCATTCTTACAAAATGCCAAAAGATACTGTTTGGCCTCATGGTAAATTAGATAGTTAAAACAGGATGTCTAGGGACTATTAAGACAGATAATACTGTTCTCCATAGCTTTTCTGAGAGTCAGAAGATTGGCTGAAACTTCCAGAATTCTGTCTTACAACAAAAAGGGTGCAATACTGAGGAGTTTTTTGATTGGATATTTGGTTGGTTGGTTTGGTTTTTCTGTTTTAGCAGGCTAAACTGCACAGCACTTTGTCAGGGTTGTGTCCACTCATTAGTATTTTACTACTTTAGTGTTCACATGAAATGAAAGGGATGCACAGAATTATCACTGCAGTACTCTCTTTGCATTATTTACAACCTTAGAGGCTGCAGCACTTCAGCATAATATTGCTAACATAAAAAGGGAAAACTTCCTCTCAAGCCAGGTTTTTAGTTTCACAGTCTGCAGTGCAACATGACTGAAAAAGGTCTATGAACCTCCCATCCCCTATCCCCACTTTCTAAATGCTGGCGCTCTGATGCACAAAGAATCCGAACAGACCAAACTCCACAGCATTCAGCACAATGGGCATCAGTAAATCCCTGTGCCTCTAGGGAAGAACGCATAGCCTTGTTTCACCATCCTGCCCAGTTACTCCCACCCCACCCTTTTTCTTGCCTTGTTAAAGTCCTCTGAAGTTGCCCTCATTTCCTTCCATGTCTTGTTCAAGAGCTGAATGCAGATACAGAAGAACTCCTCAAATGATCTGTCATGGGTGAAGAACATGGGATGGAAATCGTTGCAGGTCTCACTGGCTAAAAACAGAAAAACAAGGGGGGTGGAATAAAGCATGTACAGGCAGGAACTTCAAAAAATAAACATAAAATACAATCAGCCACAAAATTTAGAAAACACTGTAATTGAGAGACATCCCAGTTCTATCAGCAAAGGATGTCAAAACACTATCCTGAAAATCCAGCCTGGGACTACAGTCTTAAAGACAATGAAACACAGTTATAGAGCCTGTCTGTAAGACACCGACAGCAAGAACAAGAAGGAGCAACTACCTGTTTGCCTGAATATTCTCTCAATGGGTGATTTGTTTGTGCCAAGTTTTGTTGTTCAGGCTTGGTCAAAGAGACACAGGGAAGAAGCACAAGTCCCCTCATCAAAACAACAGCCTTCCCCACTGCTACCAGCACATACCATATTGCCTGCTGAGAACCAAACACCAAACCCCAAGTCGCAAAATAGTATTAGATCAATTTACACACCGAAACGTGAAGCTCTGCTGACACAGCAGATGATCTACTATATTGCACATGGATATACCACAGAGGTAACCAGAGAAATCTAGACAGGCATATAGACGAGCATGTAACTTGATTAAATTTTTCTTTGAAAATAAGTATAAACAAAAGAAATGGATCTTCTGTCATCTGTCCCTTCTCTGAGATAGAAGGGGAAAAAAAAAAAAACCCCAACACCAAACTTCCTTTTTTTAATCAAATACTGGCTTTAAAAAAGAAAAAAAAAAAAAAAAAAAGAAAAAAAAAAAGAAAAAAGAATACTATAATGATGATCCAAAAAGGAGATGTACAGTCTGGCAAGACTGCTGGGAATGTCCTTCAGTGAAGAATAGATTTTCAAAAACTAAGGGCTGAAGCAATGCTGATCTCTGGGCACATCTGAGCATCCTGGGAACAGAAGGGGCTTTAGCCAAGGACTGAAAAGGATCCTTAAACCCTGCCATGACGTGCAGGGACACCTCAGTAGGTTGCATATTTAAGTACTTTAAAAACTAATGGAAAAAGTCAAGTTGACTAAGCCTTTCTTCATATACCCAGTCCTCAAATCTCTCAGCTTCACCTTTCACCTCTGCACGAACACTCCTTTGGACTCTTCCAGCAGTCACTCACACGCCCATACAGCAGCATCTGCTTTGACTTCAGGATCAAACAGCCACTGCTTAGGCAAGCTTCCTCCACTGCAAGAACAGCGGAATTACCGATCATTGGGATAAATCACCCTTTTCCTGAGGCTGGATCACTGTCTGACATCTGCTTTCTCTCAGTGGAACCGGAGAAATTAGAATTAAGACTCTTTGCAGAAGAATATGAATGGCTCAGGCAGGCTGACCCCCTGCATCAGCTGCAAACACTTAGTCCTGGTACCTCTTCAAGCTGCAAAACCGCCCTTCCAGTGTGCTTGGTTACCTCTGCAGCGCCAGCAGCTCCACCATAGGAACATGAGTTGTGCTTCGAATCACCTGAACCCTCAAAGGAAAACGTTTCTGATCTTTCCCAACATGCAGTATTCCAATTATAAAGCAAAACTCTGAAGTTTAATTGTAAATTTAAAGCTTAATTTTAACATTGGATTTATGAAGATCTAATCAATTCCTCAGCTACGTAGCAAAGATGAGAGTTAATTTTGGAGCACAGGTTTCATTCTAATCAAGTAAACTCCATTTACTTCAAAGGATGTGCAGTCAAGAGGGAATTAGTCAAAGCAGAGACCTATATTTTTGAGGCACGACTCAATCCTTTTAAAAGAATAAAATGCCTCAGGCATGATTTTCAGAGCACCTTCAGCTTCCATTCATTCCACCAGAGCTGCAAGGACTCAGCACTTCCAATAATCAGACCTTCAGCCTGTAATAATGTCAGAGACACAACAGAACTGATTCTCAGAGGGCACTTGTCTTTAAGTCATGAAATACTATAATGATGAGAAGAAATAAAATAACAAGCAGCAGCAGAATGCAGCCAGTACCTTTGCTGTGTAAATCACAGCATGAAACAAGGCAATAATCCTCAACACACACTGGCCTTTCTGATCCTCCTCAGAGTCTGAGCTTATCACTGCTCCCACTCATAAAAATCAATAAATCAAAATTAATGGAAAGGCTAAGGATTCTCAGAAACTTTATCATTGGTTCTAACTCGTGCTCCTTACAATAATCAGCCCCAAATCGTATCTACTATGTTGACTGTTCTGCATGCAGAATCAGAGGTGCCACCCCCCCATTTTCTTAATAAATGGGCAACATACTGTGTTTTATGTCTGTTCAGTCTGAAAGAGTCATTGTTATTGATATAAATGGAGAAAGTTAGGCCTGTTAGAAAGCAAGATCAAAATCTTAAAAAAATAAAACAAATCCTAAGAAAAACTCAAACCCAAATAATAAACACCTTCCTCAAAATTCCCACCAGCATCTAGATAGC